ATTTTAATAAGTTAAATATTGAAATGAATTATATTACCTAAAAAAAATCGAGATTTCAGCACAACCACATTTCTTTATAGTCGTCATAAAAGAGTACCTTAGATGTCAGATTTTAAATATTCTTAAAAGAATTGTTGATATTAAACAATACATGAAAGCATTGTATAATATCGAGTGAATGTATCCGTTATGATTTAAAAATCGATTTTCTTTAAATGTACTATTTTGAAAATAGTCGTTAAATCCTTATAAATGTTTAATAACATAAACTTAATAAACGAATTTCTGAAAATTACTCGCAAATAGCATACATTGTGTCAAAAAGTCTTTCTTCACTTGAAGTGTGCTAAATGATCAACAAAACTTTCTTTAACAGTTTTAATTGTACATTTTAAGTGTTCATCATTTATTCTTAATCACAAACTTAATTAAATGCACATGTCACTCACTAACATTAAAGACTTTTTAAAGGAATTTACACAAATTGTTTATAACTAGAAACGAATATCATTTGTCTAGGGATATCGAATATATTTCTCTAGATGAATATCGAATGTTAAATAATTACTATAAAATTTTTTCTATTTCAATAACTATATGTACAATTTTAATAAGTTATTAAATCTTTTATTTCATAGTTTCTTTTACATTATTAACACTTCTAATATTTGTTTATTTCATTAAAATTTTTTAATGTTGAAATAAAATAATTTATATGTAATATTGTGCCTTTAAAGGCGAAATAATTAAAAGAATTCTTTTTATTCAAATATGCATAAAAGTAATCGAATACACATAGATATAATAGGTACCGTTTTGTTAAGAATTTTGTTGCAATAAATAAATAAAAACGGAATGTAGTTACGTACCAATGTATCTTTAATTATAAGTAAGCTTTATTAAAAATATACTTAAATGTATCGTGTTTTTATTGCTTTTAAGGCATAAAATTTTTTTATATGGAAGGTATTTACTTTCAGTACTTGAAAACTGTTTATATACACCAGTCACATAATTATAACATAAACAAACTTACTAGAGTAATTCTACGCATATTTATTTACAATTATGTAATATAAATTTACATAT